AGTTCTGGTCAAAACAATTTTGTAGTGGGAACTACAAGGCATGGAGACAACTGGAGCGGTTTTCACAAGGACGTCTCTCCCTCATGAATGAAGGGTGCAATCCCAGCAGGGCAGGGGCAGCTCTCCCTGCCTGAGTTTCCTCTCAGGACCTGAATGAGCCTCAGTGTTTGGCAAGAGAGGGGCTCCAGTGAACTGTCTCCTTTCTCCTCTTATTGGAGTCCCAGCTGCAGACAGAATTAAGCAATGAGGAGGGGGAGCATTGCCCAGCAGGCAGGAGATGGAACTGGTGGGGATGCCTTGTGAGGAAGGTGTAAGGAATGAGTATGTGTAGAGGCCAAGGGAGTGCTGAGGGTGGATCCTGGAGATGCACAGAGACATTCTCCCAGCCACGGGAAGAAGCGGTTTCTCACATTCCTGGGGATATCGGGGTGGCTGTAGCTGCTGTTCCCATTGGGACTCTCACCCCAGGGCTCAGGCCATGGCCAGCAATGATTTCTGCCCGGTTATGGGGACTGCTGGATGTCTCCTTTGCTGCCCAGTGATGCTCAGCAGTCTCAGTTCTGCTCCAAACAATTTTGTAGTGGGAACTATGGCCAGGGATACTGGGATTCAGGCAGCTCTTCCTGTCACACCAAAGCCCTTCCCTTCAATCAGAACTGTTTGTTCCCGTGAGATCAGATTGTTGCAGTGCCCACACCTGGTGAGACAATGGCCGAACAATATTTCTATTGTCAAATCCTCCAGTTCATCATTCCTGCCGGCTGGACTGGTTGGGATGTGGGAAATTCCTTAGCGATGGAGGTCACCTGCCTGACCCGCCCGGCAGCCAGCCCGGAGCATCCCTCCCTGGACAATCCGCGTTGCTCCCGACACATCCCAGGCATCAGCAGCGGCTGCAGAATAAAGGGAAGTGCCGCAGCTCGGGCAGAGCTTTGGGAGCCGCGCCCGGACTGCCGGGGGAGCTGTTCCTCAGTGCCGCAGGAGCCAGCTGGAGCTCCTCAGCCAGGCGGGATGGGCTCCTGATCCCAATCGGGCACAATCAGAGCCTTCCCGTGAGCTCAGCCGGCTCGGGCCGGGCGCTCAGCCGCCTTTCATTGCGGACCGAGGGAAGGGCTCGGGCCCGGAAGCGCCTCCCGGTGCTGCCGGATCATCGGAACCTGGCCCGGCTGAGCCGCAGCCGGGCTCCAGCTGAGCCTCCCGGCTCTGATCCCGTGGCTTTCACCGCAGCTTGCGCAGGCGGGGATGGCTTTGTGCAACGGGAGCGCGGCTTCCCGGGAGCGGCTGTGCCTGCTGCCAGGGATTCCAGCAGGCTCCGTGCCTGCAGGCTCGGCCTCATCCCTGCCTGGAAATGAGCATGGGAACCAGCCTTTCCCTCCTCTCCTTCCACCTCTGCTCGGCTCAGCAGCTTTCTAAGCAGCTCTTCCAGTTCTTACCTCGCACACGGCCAAGAGTTGTCTGGATTGTCCCAGCAGCCTTTAAACATCCTCGGGATCCCGTGTGCCTCCTGTCAGGTGCTGCAGGGAACAGGCAATTCCCAGGGAGGTGCACAGCTGGAAAGATCATACACACGGCTGGGCTTTGGCTCACCTCTGTTCTACCTCACTTTGCTTTGATTCCACTTCTGAAAGATCAGGACCTATCAGGAAGATCTCAATTAGCACAGAGGCTGATCCAAGAGCACTGAAAAGTGGGAATAAGACACTCGAACTCCAGGAAGGGCTCTTCCCTTGTGTGCCAAGGGCAAAGAGAGCTCCAGCAGTAATTCCTGCTTTGGTGGCATTTTACACCGTGTGTTTTCTACAGGGGAAGGCTGGAAAAAAGCAGCTCCGTGTTTGGATCCTGTTGAGAGCTACTCGTGAGTCCTGTCACCTCATTTCACAGCTCCAGCTGCCCCAGCTGTACCGGGGGAAAGAACAAGGTGAAATTGGTTTTGCCATTATCTGTGTGACAACAACGTGTGCCATGCAAATGTCATGAGCAGAGGTGACCTCAGGCTTTGGTGTGAGGAGCAGAACAGGCTGGATTTAGGGTATCCTAATGGGATTAGAGTGAGACAAAATATAATACGAGCAGAGGAGCAGGTGGATCCATCCAGGGATTTCTGCAATGGAAAGCTAAATATGCAAAGGTCGGGCATCGGATTTAATTTATCACTTTCACCTTCCTGCTTTGGAGACCCAGTCAGTAGCACGGTCTTGGCCAGAGTTTTAAGAAGAAAACGCCATCGGGTATTATTAATCCTACCTACATAGAATTGCCTGAAAGAGGGAAAGGAAAACCACGTTGTTGATCTTTGTTTTGAAGCCTGCAGCCATGGCGGCTGTTTTGCCTCACGCACATTGGGATGGGTGGATGGGACAGTCTGGGAAATGAACACCAGAAGCTTCTGGCCATCCCTCTCTGCTGCTCAGGGAACACAGAGCGAGTTCTCTCC